AGCTCTTCCTCTTCTAATTACAAAGATTAACCTATTTATATGGTCAAACTAACAAAGCAAAGTCAAAGTCAAACTTCTATAAGAAAAGTCAAACACGCTGACTTTTACAATTATAGACTATTTATAAACTTTCAAGACGAATACAATTAATACAGATTTCTCAGTCCTAACAGGGTATTAAGAGAAAAAGCTACCACTTAATATTTCAGAGGAAAGAGAAGGAAATAAGCTCTTATTTGAACAAAAAAAACAAACAGTCTTAATACCACAACGTCTGACCGAATCAGACTTCAGTGGTATTAAGCTCTTAATACCAAAAAACAAACAGCCCCTTAGTGGATTCAAATATGGATTGATTCCAAAAAGAAGTAAGATGTTGCTTCCATATAGAACTATAGTTCTCTGAATAATGACTAGATCTATAAGGCGCAAAATTCACATATTCGGACTTTTGACTACACTAGTCAAAGGTATGACCCTCAGTACAGATTTAGAAGTAGTTGCTCTAACAACAGGTTCACAATGGGGCAACATACAAGGTTTTAATGATGTTGGTCATTGATGTGAATTGTGTTCTTAGAGCTGTAGAAGGATCAACTTTATGAATATAAATGGTCTTTTTTGGTACTAGTGCTCGTAATTCTGACCAATGACTGTTGTTATTTGAATTTTTTTCTAAAATATCATAGTCGTCATCATAGGTAATAGCTGTAAAGGCTGCCCCTGCTATAACAATGAGCATTTATTTATTAGTGGTATTTAAGCCATTGTAAGATGTCTCTAGTCGTATGCAATGGAGAATGCCATAGTGAGGGCATTTCCTAAACAAATCTTTATACCTTTCTCATGCACTCAAAACTTTTTCATCGTACATTTTTTTTAAACATGCAAATCTCATTCTTGGACTTAGCATTGTTGTTATGACGGAAACATATTTTTTTTTAATTTCGGCTATGTTGTTGCAAGAAATATTTGAATCTGGTTGTATGATTTTTCCATATTCGTAAGTGAAAAAGGAAATATTTCAATCATAAAACATCATTAGAACCTCCATTGTTTTGAAAAGAGTTGGGAGTTTTTGTAAAGAACTTAAGATCTGAATGAACGTTATGGTTCATGGATTATGTAACCCGAAAATCACAAATGGAATCGCATGCAAGTATACATGCTAAAACAATATCGTATAAAACAAGTAATAAAGTGATATAAAGTACCGAATAACGATCTACAGGGACAATGAAAACAAGCACTAATCCAAGTCAAGCTTAAAAAGTCATTTCAGAAGGTAAATTCAAAGGAATGATATTTGAGTGAGTTAACAACTACTGGAAATGTTAAAAAACAAATTAAAAGTAAGCAAGGGTGCAAGTTTATGTTGGAGTTTGGCAACTATGTGCATGGAACCTTGCTACCTGGTGGGATGCTGCAGCAATAGTTCTCACCTACACTATCGAATCGAACAACCCCCTTTCAAGATTCAAATTAGACCTTCATGCTTTTAGCATCCAATTGAGTACAATTCTAAGAGTAATTCAGATCTTATAGTTCTTTTTGTATAGTTTGCAACCCTTTAAGGTTGACGTAACTCTTTTTAGCCATATATAACACTTCAGTGTTCTAAAAATTAACGTTGACATGCATTCAAGTCCAATTCATCCAAGTGAAAAAACATGGTGTCACTTATTCAAGAATTACTTAGATGAAACTTAGAAACTAGGAGTTAATAGTGGAGTAGATAATTATTCGCGAAATCAATGATCTACTATGACATAGGTCTTTATCTCCCAAACCTTCACTCATACCTAAGCTAGGGAATGTAAGCATCATTGCTTGAAAAGTAATGCAAGACATAAATGTAAAGGCGGAATGTAAAAGTATAAATGTAAATGACAAGAAATGTAAAGTGTTGTGCGAATGTTAAATAGATGTAGCACCGAGCAGTAAAGTACCAAAAGCTTTCAAAAATAATACTAAAGTAACAATAGTAAACTAAATAGTTAAATGAGCTATTAGTTCAAGCCTAGAAAGGTAAGGATGTAACCTCCCTTATATTAGAGAAGGGGCACATGAGAACAAACTAGAAAAAGGTACAATAGTCACAAGAGTTTTTTAATCAAAAGGTACACTAAATGTCAACAACCTAGTACAAAAGTTTCTTTAATGCATGTGACTCCACTTCACATAGATATTCTCCAACAAATGCCTCCTTTAGCATATAGAAGTGAATACCACCAAAAGAATAGATTCTTCAAAAGGTTTATGAGTTCATAATCTCGTATAGTTGTCCAATGCTATGAAATACTTGATGCAACACCAAAATACTGTCAAAATTTCACTCCAAAGTCACCAAATAAGAGCGATCTCTCCTAGTTAGCTCTAAAATCAACAAAGAATAAGAAGAAAATAAAAGACTCAATTTTTGTTGTTTGAAAACTAAATAAAGAGAAATGCTAAGATAAAAGTGATCAAAATGTGATACATTATGCACTTATCACACCCCTACACTTGAACTGTGTTTGTCCCTAAGCAACGAAAATGAAAAATATAAAGACTTAATTTGGAAGGTTAAAAGTTAAAAGACTTGTGATACAGATCAGTCTATGCTATTTTAAACAATCAACATAGCCTTTTATAAATCAATGTTCATTCAACCTTCCAAACACCACTACCACAGGCCAAGACTCAAGTTCCTATTATTAGGAAAAAACAATCTCTAAACTTAGAATCAATGGGGCTTCATGTGTTCGAAATTTTTAGGCTTCTCTATTTTTCTCTCATGCTCATTAATTTTTCTACGTTTTCATGCTGCAACATCTTCCTATCTACCAAAATTTTGAGTATAAGGCTAAAGAAGGGTTGATTGAGCCATGGTACCAATATCATAGGGAAAAGAGAACATGATTAAACCAACATGCCAATATCACAAACTGATTGAGCCTAGTGATGCCGATATCACCTACTCACTTTTATTGGAATTAGACAAGAATAAATCACTCAAACCTTTATCCTTTTTTTGCCTTAACACAGATTCATGATACCCTCCTGTTGGTCCCAGCCTGATTTACAAGTGTTTATAGGTAACAGTTTGTAGAAGAAGGGGGGATGAATACAAACACAACAACTTTCACTTTTAAAAAACTTATATTGATAAAGAAGATCAATACAAACTTTTACAGATTGTTTGCGGAAAAGATAAGATACATAACTTATTTAAACAATCAAAGATACACACAAATTACAGATAGCAAGAAGAAAAGACTTGCTACAAGAAATAGGTTAAGAAGTATCGTGCTCTTCACTTGTTATAGTGGAAGTCTTTCTCTTAGATAGAGAGTTAGAGGGAAGAGTATCTTCTTGGGTAAGATAAGATGAGAAAGATAATTAAGAAGAGAGAATTACTCAGCTATTTATACCCACTACATTAAATGCAATTAAGAAGGTACAAAGCACGTGGCAAGCTTTAAGAGGAAAACTTATCATTTGTTGCAGATATAAGTCTTTTGGACGTATATGAATAATCGTCTTTCATAAAGTAGGTAACCATGCTTGGAGACAATAGAGTGACTCTATACAGTACTTTACTTTGAAAGGTATGAGTTTTTTTTTGTGTGCAAAAGAACATGACAAAAAATATCTTGTTCAAAAAGATTCATTTGATAGCTGACACTGGAATGACGCTGAAGGTCTCATCAGTGTTCGCTGAATCTTGCATAGATTTCACACTTGTGTACACGAGCTTGTTATCATTGAAAAATCGCATCAAATCACGAACTTATTAGTCTCTATCTTCAGCTTCAATCTTCGATATCGCTGAAGGATCTATGGTGTGAGTTTTGTCTTCTTGAAGGATACTGGTCCCTGAACGAATTACACTACATGTTCAGTAATCACTGAACATACTCAGTGATGATCGTTGAAACTGAATACAGAGATAGTGCATTTCATAAGGTAAAATGGATCACCATCAAATCACTGAGAGAGGATCAACAATTTACCCTTATTTAATGATGACAAAGTAATATAAAAAAAATTGCTTAAGGTACAACAATAAAGAAAAAATACTAGTAAAATATTTGTCCCTTTTAATTATTTTGGGATATTTTTCTGTGATACAGTTTACTATGAATATTTACTTTAATTGTAAAGGATTACAAGGAAAGAATAAACTTGCATAATATTAATAACTGAATACTGAAAGCATATTCACTTACTAGAAATGTGCCAACGAATGTAAGAATAAAATAGAACTCACAGGTACATGTCCCATTTACTCTTTTCAGGGATCTTTTTCAGTGAACCAATCATTTGTTGAAATATTTTACAAGGAAAAACATTACAATGATTACAATCAGTTTTGGTAGACCTGAAACATAAAGGTTATACATTGCAAGAAAGGACAAGAAATACAAGAATTAAAAGACTGAAAGGACTTCCAATCTAGATTGTTGAAGTTGATGTAGTCAGGGATATATTTTCCTAGCATCTTCTATCTGAGCATTTCTTTTCGAATCCTGTGCTCCATCATCTCTCCAAATAGATCATTGTTCAGCCAAGTTCTTAGATATTCTAAGTGATCTATAGGGCAGAGATGGAACTTAAATACTCGTTGAAAACCTGTATTGTCCATATTCAGGTTTCACATGCACTGTGTTGGGTATATAAGGACCCTTCTTAAGAAGTGACAAGTTCAACACTGAGATATCTGGATTCTTTGATCCTTGAGAAGTTCATCCACTAAAACTTTTGTTTCATGCTCGTTCTTGTGGGATGGTCCATCTTCAGGTTTAGAAAGGATTTTTCTTCGAGAGTGCTTCTTTGGCAGAGGAGGAACCTCGATGATCTTCGACACCTTGTTGAATAGTTCATTCAGAACTTCTTCAAATATAAGGCTTGTGCTTGGATTTGGAATTTTGGACAGCCTGTCAAATCTCGAGCCATTCGTAGAAGACATATTGGCTGAGGAAAGAGGGATACTCGGTTACAACATTTTTGTCTTCTTGAAAAATGACCATTCAGACTAGCTGAGCACCATCTTTCAAACGACCATTGATAGTGACGTTTGTAATTTTGTGTGGGCTCATCCTTGTCTCGATCCTTTCTCTCTAGTTAAGGTCACGATCCTTCAGCTTTAACACTCGTTGGCGTTCACGTTCAGCTTCTGCTATAAGTTGGGCTTGAGCACTGAATGGATCTTTCCTCTTGAATTTCCCTTGTGCAAGTGCCTGATCAGCTACAGCCTTGGCTAACTCTAAGCTGTCTTTGAGTTGTAGCTAATGTTTCTTCAACTCTTGTTCAGCATAGAAGGATTCTACATGTTTAGCTTCTGAAAGAAACAAACTCACCACATCCAGAGGTACGAAGAGGAATTTTTACTCTGGATTGGTCGAGCTGACTTACTACTGGTATTCTTCAACTTCTGAATACACATGTTGTCTTGGCGACTTCCTGGTATTAGCGTGTTGGCTTCATCATCATCTTCATCGTCCTGTAAAGTTTCAAAAGATGGGAGATGGGTTGAGAGACCAGGAGGGTTTATTACGGAGAGATATTAAGATAAAGGGGTAGAAATTTTAGTTTATGATGATGGAGGTACAAACCTGGAGGTGAATGCATCCTTAGATGGACTGACAGCCTGAACAACTAGGAAAGGTTGTCTTCAACCACTCCTTTGCCTTTTTCAGTGGAGTATTGGTTCTCTGATGATTTCTCCCCCTTGGGAAGTAGGTTCCCCGAAGGATATTATTTTTGCTGGTTGTCTTGGAATGACTTGGATGCAGAAATCATCATCATCATCGTCATCGTCACCACCAATATTAGTGTCTGCATTTGGAATTTGAGGTTCAGAATCCTCATCATCAGCATCATCTTCATCACCAGCATTTGACACGGTAGAGGTGAAAGGATGAAG